CAGTGGCCACCAGAGGTTACAGCAGATATTTACTTGATTGAAGACTGAAGTCTACAGTTTTGTTATTCTGAGCAGCTAAAAAAAAAACAACCAAAACCAAACAAACAACCAACCAAACATATAAAAAAAAAAGCTTATTCCTTACCATGACATTTATTTCTATCATTTCAACACATAGACGGGTATTCACAATAATCTTTCATGAATATCCCACATATTAAGAGTAGTTATTATCCAGCTTTATGTCCGATCTTAAATGTAGCACTAAACAGTCACAATAACAAATCCCCCTGGAACCACAAACAGGAACTGTATGTTGCAATAATGGGAACTGGCTGTGGGATCTGTGACATCTCTTTCATGTATTTAAAACCTCCCACTCTTACAAGTATTCACCTGTGGCTGAGGTGAAGGAAAGAGAACAACACTGACTAGAAGAATATTGCTTCAACTACTTGAGAGAAAAGATCTCTGGTACACAGTAGCATTGTACTTGCTCTTGAGAAGCTGTTAACAAAACAGCACTCGTCTGCAAGACAAATATTCCTACAGCATGTGTGCAACTGCAAGAACTCCCAGCTGTTAAATTTATACTTTATTAAAAATGAACAGGCCTGCAATAGTTACACATTTAACGCTTAAATTATAAAAAGCACAAGACATGCCAGTGAATCAAAGACATTAAATATTTAAGAAAGCTACAAAAATAGCAGGCCACATCAGATCACTTACTTGACAACTTTCCCATACTTTGAAAAAATCTGAAAAACAGAACAAAATAGAAAGATTTAACAACAGACAATTCCATGCCATTGGTAACAAATTTATCAAGACAAACTCTTCTAAGAGACGTACATCAATATTATATTTGCACTCCAAACTGTTGTCAATCAGTTTAGTCTGAACAGTAGTGTTCTTAAAAACTTACCCTGTATAGATCGTTGTTGGTCAGAGCAAAGGGTAAATTGGACACATACACGGTGCTTTTGCTTGGTGCCAAGCCACCACTCATTTTTCTGATGAAAGGAGAAAGAGAGAAGAGTTAAACTGTTTCCAAAACATGAGAAATTGAAAAGCAGTTGTGTGATTTTTTTCTTTTAAACACAGCCCAGATGGTCACGATAAAGTTGCAATAAAGCATAGCTTTCATTTCCTTTTTATCATTTTACATGAAATCAGTGTTTGCCCTCATGTTCTTCCCTCTCCCCTGCATTCAAAGCATATTTTTTCTTTGTCCTAGTTGATCAGTAAGCCATGAAAAAAAAACTGATGGGTTCGTGTACTTGAAGTAAGCCTCCATCTCCATTTACTGAATGTTCTGGCTAATATGTGATATTAATAACCTTTGGACAAGTACCTACATGATTTGATTCTTCATACTAGTTTCAGCTCGGCTACCTTCAACATAGAATAAACCACTTTTGGTTAAGGAAGGAAAAAAAAAAGACACTTTTTAAAGCCAAGGCAGTGTATCTCATCTGTTAAAGCAGCAAGTATTTCCTCTTGTATCCATTACTCATGCTTCTGTGGTGCTCTGGAACTGGAGATTTCCAGCACTGGTTACGGATGGCATCTCCCCTGCTCCTGGCCAGGGAAATCTCAGTGCCAATTTCCTTCGTGTCCTAAGTTCTTGAGCCTAAGTAGCTAAGACTATACCTAGAATCAATGAACCCATTCAAAAACATTCTAAACATCCCATCTGAAAACTGCATACACATAATCTAATATGAGGTAAGGAATAACTGAACTAACTTGAAAGAGAACAGGCTGTGTTTTTCCTCATGTTTGGACTTTTCCCAAAAAACTGAAGTGGCACTAAAGTCTGTGCAAAGCACTTCTTCCTTCTGATTCATCCTGTAGGCACGGCTTGGTGCAAAAATGGGTAAAATGCAAGATCAGAATAAAACACAGCCCTTATGAGAGAACACACCAAAAAGTACAGCAAAAATCTTCCGTATGCAGCCCACCGTCCCTGGAGGTGTTCAAGGAAAGGTTGGACATGGCACTTAGGGACATGGTTTAGTGGGTGACATTGGTTAGACCAGATGATCTCAGAGGTCTTTGCCAACCTTAATGATTCCATGATTAATACCTGCTTAGCCAGTTTCCTGCAGCCTTATTGCTGCTTCTTGGTACCCCTCACTGATTCCTAGCTGCCTCCTTCACTGAGGCTCAAGCCATTTCTTCAGCAAGACCAATTCAATTTAAAATGCAAAGGCTGTTGAAGGGATGAAAGAAACTAAAGAAATCAACACCCATCATAGAACAGACGCAGCGCCTTACAGGACTTTCCAGGTAGGGAGTTTGATCAGATGCAAGGGTCAATTGTCAGCACAGAAATTAATGTCAGACCCTAATCCATCAGTGGTTATTTTTTTTTAGCATTTCATGATTCAGTCATCTGAAGACCTAATACTCCCAGTAGACACCGATTATCCATGCATTTTGCTTCTTTTTTCTGACAAGTTTAACGTCTCACAACTCGTTTAAGCGGCGGTTTCTAAGTGATCAAATTTTGAGTTTTTCCACGTTCAGAGACTGTGTTTTTTGGCACGAGCAGAAATGGCAACATAAAGGTTAAGCAAATGAAAACAGAATAAATTTGCAACAAAGGCCACGCACTGCATCTGGTGTTATGCAGACTTGATTCATTACCCCAAATTCCTCGCTGCTTGGCATTGGTATCCTTGACAAGCCCAACCAAACCGACTCGGCGAGGCGCCGTACAGAGAGGTGGCTCAAGCGCAGGAATGCAGACATCCAGCACAAAACAGAGCACGTGGTAAGGGCTACCCCAGTGCTGCATTATGGTATAACACCAGTATTTTGCAACAGCAGAGAAAACAGCAGAAAACAGTCCCCTGGACAAATTTAACTGAAGTAGTGCTGCAGCTCTGACTGCCCAAATAATGGTAGCAATCCGTATCATTCAGGACCCCCTTGTGGGTGCTTCAGTTATCTGACTTTTAATGTCTAAGTTGTCGGGGTCACTGCAAAACTTTATGATTTTCCCAAAATCAGTGTCTCAAAAAGCTCGAGCATGTTAAAACTGCAGATTTCTGGCCATCTGTGTGAATACAATGGTCTAAATGCAACTGGAGATCCAACTACAACCACAATTCTTTCCACTCCCATGAACATTAACAAAACATTGCCTTCTTTATTTTTTTAAAAATAAACCACCATGAAGCGATTACAGGGATACAAACAATAGTTTTTTGTTTTTTGCCAACCTTGCCATACCAGTTTCACCAGCTTATGGGGAAAGAAGGATGTAAAAAAGAGCCAATTCTAGCTTTAGCTCTAGATGAGAAACTCCTCTATCCTAAGGCTCGGAGTCTTTTTACTTCGGGAAATTTCTAATTTCATAAAACAGTTGGACACAAGTTTAACATTTTCATCACATTCTTTTTCCTTGCTCACCAGTCTCTCTACTCTCCAGGATTTCACTACACAGGCTAAGATAATAACTAATTAAATAAATATAAAAACCAAAATGAGCATCTGAGCTTTCTAGTTGACACGGGGGACTCCCTGCGCCACACACAACCTGACTTCTATATCCCTCTAGAGCCTGTCAACAAATCAAAACATTTCTGTTTTCTAGTGAATGCTTTTATGTGGTTTCCCCGATCTTCAAGGTATTTCTTGGTTACTTATCTTTAAAGCATCAGCTGGAAGCCAGTACATCATCTCCATGGGGTCTAGCAGAAACCCCATTAATCTAACTGCCTCTCTGCAATATTAATGCTTTCTTCATTTATTATTTTCACATATTAACTTTCAGGATGAGGTTGTCTATCATGACTATGACTTGTGGAATTCAGTCTTTTTTGCCTTTGCCAACAATTCAAAGAAGCCATTCTCTGACAAGAGCCATCTGTCACTAACGATTGGGTCTCCTGCAAAATACGTTGGGTGCTCAAGTATGCTTTGCTTGACTCCGATTGCACTTCATGCAGTGTCCATCACTCATGTTGAGAACACCAGAAGAAAAGACAATGATTAATTACAGTTACCAGTTTTTCTGCTCTGTCCCAGGACATACAAGGACACCTCCGAAATGGTTCAGATGCCTCTGAAGCATCAAGTGGAGTCTGAATGCACTGACACTTTCAGGACTTAACATCAACATTGCAACTTTCACACAAACGTTTTACTTGTTTGTTTTAAATACACATCAGTAAGTTCAGATTTGTGGTTTAATAAATTAAAGATGTATAAATTTGTGGATAAATCACTCCAGACGCGATCGCTCAGGCCAATCAACTTCAGTTCTTCTATCTCGATGCTTAAAGTGCCATGTTTTGTTAATAATTTAATAGCACCAACAGAATTTAGAACCTAATCAAGAAACCATTAGTTCTGGTAGTAACTTGGCTCAGGCTTATAATGACAAGCCTGTGGGAAGGGAGGGAAGAGAAGTCCCCTGTTGGTCCTGTGGGTGCCCCATCCCTGAGGTGCCCAAGGCCAGGCTGGATGGGGCTTTGGGCACCCCGGGCTGCTGGGAGGTGTCCCTGCCTTGGCAGGGGGCTGGAGCTGGGTGGGCTTTGAGGTCCCTTCCAGCCCCAAACAACCTTTGAGTGCACGAAACCGAATTAATCCCCTCTCTGCCCCCACACCAGGCTGCACCCGCTCCCAACACGAGAGCCGCGTCACGACCCTCCAGCGCCGAGCCCGCTTTATCCCCACGCAGCCCCTTACACACCACAGCACAACCCCTCCGCGGGCTCACAGCAGGTAAACGGAGCCCCAAACACCCCGCCCGCGCCCTCAGGACCCCCCGGGGACCCCAGCAGAGACCCCGTCCCCTCCTCGCCCCCCGCGCCCCCCTCACCCTCGGCGGCTCCCGGCGGCTCCCTGCGGGGCGGCGCTCAGCCCTCGCGGGCGGCCATCTTAGGGCAGCCGGGCCCGGCACGGCGCAGCCCAGCCCGGCACAGCCCGGCCCGGCCCGGCGCGGCCCTTCCGCTGACGCGGGGCGCCGAGCGCCGCCTGCGGGAGCCGAGGCGGCCGCTTCCGGGGGCGCCTGCGGAGAGGGGGAAGGCGGCGGGGCCCGCGGGGGGCTGCGGAGGCGGCAGGAGGGTGAGCGGGGCCGGGAGCGGCCGGGCCGGGGGTGCGGGGAGCGCCCGCGGAGCCTCCCGGGGGCCGGCGCTGCCCCGGCCTCATGGGGGGGTCCCGCAGTGTCCGCTGGGGGGAGAGGCGGAACCGCGACCACGGTCCTAAATACACGCGTGTGTAGGACCTGCGTATGTAGCTGTGTACATATATGCTTAGGATGTGTTTAAGGTATCTTAAACGCGCACACAGACACGCATATGCATACATGAGGTTCACAAAGCCCACGTGCGGCAGGTTTGGGGTTTCGGTTCTCGTCCTGCCCGGGGTAATGCCGGGAGGCGATGGGTCCCCACCGGCCGCTAACGAGCGCCTGGGGGGGGGGGGGGGGGGCGAGGCGGGCCCCATGGCTGTGGGGGCACCCAGCGTGTGCCTTAGGGTCGGAGCATGGATCCGGCTTTTCCTTATTTATGTTTCAGAAGGGCTAAATAGGACCTAAATGTGTCACTGAGCAGCTCTAAAACAGGTCCTTACACTTAGCTTAACAGGGGAGCATCCCCTAATATATTTAAACTCCTATGAGTATTGCAACACTTAGGTTTTCACTGCCTTCATGCTCTTTAAGTGAACCTACTTTGCCCTGGGTTAGACTTCTGATGGATAGGCTTATAATACATACATACATATATATATATATATATATATATATATATTTATATTTCAATCCGAGGTGTTCAGGACTTCAGGAGAGCAAAAGTTGTGCAGGAAGGACATAAAAAGATGTGGAAACGCACACCACCTGTGCAAGCGATGAGTAGAGATTGAGGTATTGACCCTGCCTGGCTGAAATATTCAGCATCTGTTAAGACTTTCATAGATAAATGTTACAAACACCCAAGTCTTGGCCTGCTACAGCAGCAATGCGGTGAGCTGGCATGTCTTGTTACCAAATTGTTCGTTCCACAAGATGGAAAGGCACCGCAGAGGTGGTGATCCATGCAGCTGTTTGTGTCGGCAGCCTAGCGGTCCCATTACAGCTTGGTAGAATATTTTTCGATGGCATTGACACTGATGAAGGATGAGATGTTGTAACTGCGGCTGTTCACATAAATATAACCGCTAATACGTGAATCTCTATGTTAATATAAACTCCCAAAGCATTATCTCCGTTTTTCTCACTCCTGTTGATATATTAGAGTGATATCGTTAGAAAACTGAACTGTTGAGGTTTCAGATGCTCACTGGAAGGCCCATGTTGCTGATAATTTTATTCAACTTCTGTTTTTTTGTTTTCCTTTTGAGTGTGGAGATGATTTGACTTTTGCGGTCAGTGCCTTCTTATTATTTTTTTTTAATATTTTATTTTAAACCCTTATTTTATGACAAAACCATGGTAAACTCGCTAAGAAAGATTGGAAGAAAGCCTCTTACTTCAAGTTAGTCGTGTCCCACCTACGTGGGACATGCCTGGACATATTTCAGGCATGCTTCTAATTGCCTTTGAAAATCTTTTGGCCTAATACTTGTTTTTAGGTAGACATGGGTTCTCTCTGTAACCCTGCTTTTTCTCAGTGCCCCCCTCCCAGTATTTTATTTACTGCCATGCCGAATTTTTTCCCTCTCATCTTACACTTCTGATGTTTCGTGTTGCCAGTAGAGGTCTAATCAGTATTTTCAGCCTGCCCCAGGTATGGGGAGAGGAGGAGAAGGCCGCTTTTGTCCCAAACTCAGTTTTCTCTAGCCTCCTTCCTGTCTAGTTAGGAGATGGCAGATAGGTTTGCAGCACTATCAAATATGGCCTTTAAGGGTTGGAACAAAAAGCTTCATTGTGTCTCTTTGTTCCTGTCCTCAAGGCAGCAATGGCTTGCTGTTGTGAAATTGGCCACAATATGTCTGCTGAATTTACAATTCCCTGAGGGCCCTTCCTAGGTCTTACTCTTACCAGATCATCCAAGATGTTTTCTGAGAGTTTTGCAAGGTGTAGGCGGGACGAAACTGGCCTACATTTGCCAATTGCTGTGGTTTGTCACAGTAATAGTACAAACCAGGCATGTACCAGTAGCATCAGAAAGAGCGCAGTTGTCTGTCCTTGGACTGCTGCTCGCATATGGCAAAATGTAGCCAGCTGGGTAAGAAAGCTGCATGTTTTTGGGACAAAAATGTATATTCTGTAGAAGGTTGATAGCACGCACTGGAAAATTACAGATGGTGATGAAGTAGGTATTTCTAGCAGTGATGAAAATTGATGTCTCAAGTAAGTGTAAACAGACAAGAATTATGTACAAAATATTGCAGAAGACTGAAGTGTTCTTCAGTATGTTAGTATTTTTAATGTGTTAATGTTCCTCAGGAAAAAAAAAAAAAAGATTGACAAAGAAAACCCAGTTGTGCAAAAATCTGATGTTTAAGTGAGCTGTGTAATCTGCATAATGAAGAAAACCTTTTTGTATTACATCTGTTACACGAGTGTAGAGGAAGACGTAGTGCTGTGATAATCGGAGCAAAGCCAATTTTGGCAGCTGGCCACAGCAGAGCAGCTTGTGCTGCATTAATAGAATGGCTTCTGTGTACGCTAAAGTGTCATCATTTGAGAAAATAAGGAATTTGCTTTAGGGAAAACAGTCACCTTTGACCAAAAATGAGGAAGAGGTTGATTAAATTAATGTAGCAGGGTATTATGGCTCATGATGTTGAAGAAACACCAACCACTTTTGGTGTACGTGCTAATAAAAAATAGCATCAGTGACGGTGGGGTTGGGTGTAACAAAAATAGTTACATATTTTTTTTAATCTTTGTTTTAGAGCAACTTTACTGATAGAGCAGGTAGATCTTAAGCTTTGATCTCTTGAATCCTCGTTAATGAAATATTCTCATATTGATCCTAAAAGTTTTGACACTTCATGGTTGTTACTAAAGCGGTGCCCTGATTAGGTCACATCATTTAAGAAATGGAAGTTTTTTCTATAGAAACAGGTGAAATGGGTTCAAGGTGATGGAAAAAGTGCTTTCCTCTCTCCAAGCATTTTTTTTTTTTCCTTCTGGTATTTTCAAAAGCATCCTCACTTTATTTCATTGGTCTCAGCTTAAAAACTGTGGTTTTAGTCTTCCCTGTAAAATTGTTTTTCTGCCTTTCGTCATTACCAGCATTCTGGGCAATGTACATTATAATTGATTCTGTCTGCTTATTTTTTTCCATCTTATTCCTCAAATTGCAAAATCTCACGTCTGAGATTTTCCTTCCCTCTGCCCTTCTCCATTCTTTCTTTTCTTTCTGTTAATTTTTTGTCTGATATAATTGTGTATGTATTTTTTTTCCTTCAGTCTATTGACTTCTGTGGTGGCATATTCTGCCTTTTTTCCTTTTTTTTTTTTGGGTCAAAATGGTAGTGATAATGCTTGCCAGCTGCAGTATGGTCCCAGAGCAGTGATGGAGGTGGCAGTGTGTTTCTCAGCCACGAAGCAACCAGCATGTCTGTGAATGCCAGCGCCTGCTGCCAATGTTATGTAGTGGGATGTTGGAGGTGGCTTAACTGGCAGAGCAGCATGGTGTGAAAGCTTGCATCCTGCTTTAATGGCATTTTCCTGACGCGTTGCTTCTTGAACACTGTGTTTGGTTAACAATTTCAGTAACTGTTCCAGGCAGCAGGGCACGGACATTGCTGGATTTGCCAAAATGCAAGCAGAAAAAAAAACCAACACAAACCCAATCAAAACAAACAAATGAACAAAAAACAACCCACAAAGCAAACAACATCCCTTAAAAGCCACCAGGCACTGTCTTCATCCCGTTGCCAATGTCCCCTCTGGTCTGAAAACCGAGTGAGGGTCTCCACCAAGGGCTGGTGTCCGCTTGCATGCAGGAGGTGCTTTGGAGGTGGGGGGCTGGCAGCACGGAGCATCCAGGCATAAAGCACCAGTGGTGAGGCATTGAGAGCTGCATCACCACAGTGCATGCAGCTCTGCTGCTGTAGTGATGGTTTTTGTCTTGCCCCCAATAATTCAGTCCCTTCCACTGCACTTTAAGTACAGATGTGTTCAGTTACTGTTCTTGTAACTCTTGGCAAGGAAGAAGAAAGCTGTGCGGGCAGTGAGGAGTCGGGTAGGGGCAGATGGGGCACGGTCCAGGGGAGACAAGGAAGAGAGGACGCAGTCTGCCTGAGACATGTTGATGCCTGCCCAGCCCCTGGCATGCGTTTAAGCCTTTAGGTAAAGTCACCGAAGAAGAGAATGAAGAAAAGTTGATGTAGTTACTGTGAAACCACCAGGAAAAGTGCTTCTGAGGGGTGCACCCGACCAACAAATGCAACTGTTGTGAGCAACCATTTCAGAATTAGCAGTTGTTGCGTGTAGACCATCTGAAGGACCCAGGACAATAGACCCTCCAGGCCTTACCCCTACCAAAACCAGTACCAGCCCAGCTCTGCTGGTTCAGTCAGCTTTTTATTTATACTTCTGCCTGCGTCAGACTACTCTTGTGTCTCGGTTATGGAACACACGTAAGGTCAGGTTATAAATTGGGGCGTTTTAAGAAGATGCTCTGATCAGTTTGTATCAATCAGTGCTATTGAGAAGGGTTGAAGGCTCTGAAGGGCTTCCCACAATTCGGGAAAGAACTTCTTAGTGATCTGCTAAGCAACTGTTAAGGACAAAGCCTGTGTTTAAACCAAACTTTTCATTAACCTCTGGTCACGTGCAGTGGAATCTTATTTTTCTCTCATTATTAATATATTAATATTAATGCAAACACAAAATGAACACAATATTAATTATATTAATATTGAAAGACAATTAAATGAAAGTAAGTTAAGTGAATATATTAGATATATTCTTGAGTGTTTCTAAGAAAGCAGTTTTGACAATTTCCAATAACGTCTGCTAATAAATGGGAGAGAAACTGATACTGGAGGTAGTGAGTAAAAGATTGTGATAGGGAAATAAAACTCAAACGTTTTCAGGAAGTGTTGTACAGATAGTAATTTGTCACAGATATTTTGTTGGTATTGTAAATTCTTATGTTCATGTTCTTTCTTAATCGAGTACAGTGAATACCCTTTACTAATTCAGACAGATTATGGGGGATGGGCAGTTGAAGGATTTATACTTTAAATGTCTGATTTACTTACACGAAATTTACATATGAGCTTGCTTGATGAATGCTTTTTTTTTTTTTTTGCTAGTTTCAGTTTCTTTTCTATTCCTAGGTGATTGAATGGGTCTTCTGAGGTGCAGTTGCTGAAACTAACAGAAAAGTGAGTATGCAAGTAATTGTTTTTCACAAAAATTTATAGCTGGCAGTTCTTACCTCTGATTACAGTTAATAAACCCTTTATCTTGTTGATTCTTGGCATCTAGAAGAATCGTTATTTTTATGTAGCCTCATAAGACCATTTCCAGTCAAGTATTTTTCTTTTATGAAGGTAGATAATGCTTTTTATTTCTCCTTTTGAATATGTCCTCCTATTTCTTTTTCTTATGGATTATTTTAATAGCTAGAACCCCTTGTGAAAGGAAACATTAAGAAATGCAATTCTAGCAATTTCTTAACTAATTTCAGCTATATATATATGTTACACATTTTTTTTAACCTTTACAATTATCTGAAAGGTTTCAGATCCTTGAGTTTGTGCTGTCTAATACAGCAGAGTCTCTTATGGTGATGGTTTATTTCCACATATTTTTAGTTATTAATCTTGACTTTGGAAGTCACCATTTTCTGGAAAAAGGAGTTTGTGTGTTTTGCTGGCTTAAAAAGGGAAAAATCTGCTTGTGAAGAGTACGTATCATTCATGTATTCAAAGCAGAGCTTTGTGCTAGCTGAACGATGTGTCGTGTTTTATCCTGTTTCCAGAAGGTCAAGATGATGAAATAATTCAATCCAAATTATTATATAGGAAAGTAGGAGCTCTGCAGTCTAATAAAGAGGAGTTGAACTCATTTTAAAAACGCAAGTCTTTTTTTTTTTTTTTTTTTTTTAGCACAGAAATATCAGAATTGCTATAAGGTATGTGTGTATGAATTTTCTTCTGAAGCTGGTATTTGCACCGTGTGTAAATCTCAGTAGGGTTGTTTATAGTACCTGCAAGTCCAGGATTGATGCTGAATATACTTCACTAATTTCCAGTTCTTGCCCATGCCGAGTTATTTTGTGAAGAGTGCATAGCAGAGCTCCATATAAACTAAAACAAAAGTTTGTTACAGATCTTGCTCTTATTTACTACAGTTTCTGACTATTTGAAATTACATCCCTCAACGCTTAAAGGCGGTTTATGTTGGCTGTTGGTACTGCAGAAGTTTTGAACAATATTGCCACGAGAATCTTGATTTCTAGTTGCCTTAAATTAATTACTTACTAATTATAACTAGATAGATTTACTTTTAAAAGGACCTCATTTTTTATTTTTTTTTAAAAAGGCCTGTACAGAGCTTGTGTATAATTTATTACCTTGGGAGAAGCCAGAGAATCTGTCATTTCTATACTTACCACTTTTTCATCTATTCATAACAAGTCTGGTTTTGACTAGTTGAATTTTTATTGTCTTTAGTGGCATATCGAAGAGATGAAATGTGGTCTGAAGGGCGATATGACTATGAAAGAATTCCAAGAGAACGTCTTCCTCCGAGGATTCATCCAGATGTAAGTATATTATGTATACTGTGTTTCTTAAGTATTATACTGTACAGTGACCTGTAACTTAAGGGCAGCATTTAGGGAGTTAATTCCTGATAAACCTTCACATTTTCCTCCTTGACCTCCAAGCTCAGTTCTTTCCTCATTTGTTTAAGTCAACAGTCTAGCAAATACATCTGTAAAGAGATTGTAGGAGGCCTGCCAGTTTAAATCTTGTCATATTTTCAAATCTATTGAAAGTGGTTTAGAGTACTTACGTTTTGATAAAGTGATTTTTTTATCCAGAGTAATTCTTTGTGTCATTAAACATAGGATTTTTCATAACTTGTGGAAAAGCAAAGGCCACACTGTATTTTGTTTTTCTCCGGAAACTTGTTTGTATATTAATACATCTTTGAAGTGATTAAGGGTGGTTAATGACTACATGTAATGTTGTTCTTGTCACCAATGCATCTTTTTACATGTATTACTGTGCTTAAGACATAAAAGCAAATGTTTATAGCAAATGTTGAAAATACACACTTGCTAAAGAAATTATTTTGTGGAGTCCTATCAAGAAAATGCTTGCCAAAAGGTGTAGATGGAAATCTTATTTTGTAGGCCTGGAGACTTCTCTGTGTTATGCCTGTAAAAACAACTGCAAAGGCTATGCTTATTCTTCTGTGTAATAACTTCAGAATGCTTTTAGAAAATACCTTTGCCAAAGAATCAGGTGAAATTCCTTTTTTTTCCCCTATGTCTGAAGTCTCTCCTTTAGACAAAACAGTTTGCAGTTTGGCCATTTTGAGCTATTGTGGTTTAAATAGAACTTTAAGGATACTTTTTAATGTTTCTATCTACATGAAGTTAATTTAGCATGCTTTCTGGGTTCTCTCTGCTGTATTTTCAGCTTGTTTTCTAGAAAGCAAGCTACCACTGGTAACTAGTTATGCTGTTTTCTCCACTGATCATTGTATTAGTGCTTGGCTGCTCTGAAATATTTTCAATGCTCTTCACAGGCAACAACAAAGTTTCTGCATTTTCAGCAAACTGGAAATCAGATAAGTTTGTACAGGCTATTTAGTCCGCTGCTTCTCCACTACATTTATCAGTAATAGAATATGAGGACAGACAGAATGTATTTTCACTTTTTTTTTTTTTCTTTAAAATCAATATTTGGCTTGACTAACACATTGCTAATTCAATTTATCCATTTTGGCAGTGACATTTCTGAATTCCATTAATCTTTCGAGATGTCCAGGGAACAAAGTATGGCATATGCATTATGGAATTTTATTTTAAAAGTTAAAATGTATGATGTAGTCTTCTGTATTGGACTTAGATGGCAAGGTTTTGTTAGCACGTGGGCTGCAGGGTTGGCCTGTAAGAGGAGGTACCAGGAGCTGCCCCACGTCAGGTCAGAGCCAGCTTCCAGGCAACTCCGAAAGGGACCCGACACTGGCCAGAGCTGAGCCAGTGAGTGACACTGGGTGGGCCTCTGGAAGAGCAGATTTAGGAAAGGGAAGAAAAAACCAAACTGCTGTACAACAGCAGCTGGGAGAACAAGGAGTGAGAAAATGTGAGAGAAGCAGCCCTGCAGCCTCCAAGGTCAGTGCAGCAGGAGGGCAGGAGGTGCTCCAGGCACGCAGCAGCAGTTCCCCTGCAGCCTGTGGAGAGGCCCCTGGTGGAGCAGGCTGTCCCCCTGCAGCCCATGGGTCCCACACGGAGCAGATCTCCACGCTGCAGCCCCCCCATGGGTGGAGGAGTCCCCGGTGGAGCAGGTGGATGTGGCCTGGAGGAGGCTGCAGCCCATGGAAAGCCCCTGCAGGAGCAGGCCCTGGGCCGGAGCTGCAGCCCGTGGAGAGGAGCCCACGCAGGAGCAGGGGGTCTGGGGGGAGCTGCCGCCCACCCGTGGGGGACCCGTGCTGGAGGAGTTTGCTCCTGGGGGATGGACCCCATGGTACGGAGCTGTGTGGGAGCAGTTCTTGAAGAGCTGCTGCCTGTGGGCAGCCCCCACAGGCTCAGTTTGGGAAGGATGGCATCCATAGGAGGGACCCCATAGGGAGCAGGGGCAGAGAGGGACCATGAAGGAGCGGCGGAGATGAAGCGCTAGGGACTGACCACAGCCCCCATTCCCCTGTGCCACTTGGCAATGGGGAGTAAGTGGAAGATGGTGGATGTAGAAGGTGTTTTCAGTTTGCTTTCAGTTCTCACTGCTCTAGTCTGTTATGAATAGGCAATGAATTACATTAATCTCCCTTACTGACTTATGCTGGGTCTGTTTTGCCCATGTCAGTAATCGGTGAGCAATCTTCCTGTCCTTACCTCAACCTAAGAGCTTTTTTTTTCTCCCACATTATATTTCCTCCTCTTGTTTTGCTGCAGAGGAGAAGCGAGAGGGTGGTGTAGTGGAGCTTAGCTACCTATTGACGTGAAACCACCACATTTTTTTGATGCAAGAGTTAACCAGATACCTCAGTGCTGGCTTTATATTATATGAGTTTGGAAGTGGGGATAGAGAAACTATCAGAATAAGCTAATTTATTGCATCAGTACTATGCATCTGTACCAAAGCAGCACCCACAGTAGTTAGGCAAACCAAGATCCAATGTCACTTACTGGAAGAATATGAAGCTCCTCATACAACTCTGCTTGTTCAAGAGGATTAGCAGGCAGTTTCTGTCCATGCAACCCTGTGCCATTGTATGTGTGTCCATGTGTAGAGGGCTGACCTAGTTTTATGCCAGGCAAGTAAAATGAAATTAATTTATTCCTCAATGTTACGAAAGTCCTCAGCATTTGCTGGTAGCTTAGTATGTTGGAACTGAGACAAAGCATTGATACAGAATGAAGTATAGCTTCTTTGAGAGAGCAAGAGATGTGTCCTAATCTAATCCTGGATGTTAATTATACATCACGTATGGATTGTGGTAGGAGCACATGCTCTCAGATGCTGGTAAACAGCAAAAAGTTGTGAGCGCTTGGCACAATTAAGCAAAATGGGTGTGACTTGAACTATCTGACTTCTTCTGAACGTCATTAACTGAGGTGGTAGGGACTACTGGGTGAGATTAAAGCACAGAGTTTTTGTTTGTTTTTTTTTTGTTTTTTTTTTTAGCTTCAGAGCATATCTTCTTTGTAAGATAGCAAACAAAAAATGTATGTAGAGGATGCTCAACAAGGTAATGGTAGATCAGGCATTCTGGCAGCATAGGAATGTGTGTATAGTCTATACTTTGTATCAGTATGGCTGTAGGTTGATTTTGGATTACCTTCTAGTGAACCTGTTGGTTGGTCTCTGAAATCAGAGCAAATTTTTCCATTTTTGCTTCTTTTTTTCTTTTGCACATTTAGTAATTTGTGAACTAAATGCGTTTTCTGCAAAAGCCGTTGATGCATTAGCTTGTGACCTATGCTGCTAGGAAAAAAAGCTAGTTTGAATGTCTCCCCCCTGACTGTACATGCTAATTGACATCTTTTGAATTATACCTTATTTTTAAGGCCAACAGAAAAGATACCTTGCTAAAAGAGGAAGACTTAAAAGACAAAGTCTTGCATTTCTATTTGCTTTTTATTTTTTTGATTCCTGAAAATTGAGTTTGTATCTTCTGTAATTGTACAACTTGTGCTTAATAAGCAAAGAATCCATTTAGTGGGTAAATAGTGTATGACATTTTATGTGAAGGAAATGTCATACACTAGAAGGAAATTAATTTTGCGGTCTAGCAAAAAGCTATCCAAAACTTGCACTAAAAGAAAAACAGTGTTGTAACTCTCTGTCACATAAATCATTAGATCATGTGCTGCGTAGTATTGAGAAGATGCTTATCAAATCAGACTATGAAACAAGGACTGTCTTCACCCCGATTTCCACAGTGTAGAAAACTTTATGGATGTTAAGAAAATGAATAATTTTCAAATAGGCTCTTTGTTTTAGAGGCATTACAAATGTAACTTTCTTTATTGCATTCCTAAATTAATATTAAAGTTTCTGAGAAATATGTGTATCTCATGCTTAAAAAATGTAGCTGACGATGAAGTAGAGGTTAACGTTACTGCTTTAAAATTTCAAAAGAAACTTAAACTGTTTTGAGAATTTTCTCTCTGTAATTAAACTTCCAATGCCTAAAGATTGCACCAGAATAGTGTCCAATTAAATACAAGTTATTCCACTGTCAGTCTGTTGTGACTTTTTCTGGTGTTCCCCTGTGCTTATTTCAGCTTTGCGATTATCACAGTCCACTGTCTAGAAATAACATGTTTTTACTTTTGTGTATTCACCATAGATTTCCAGATGTTAAAAACAAAATGATTTTGTTTTGTGGTTTAGGATGATTACCATCGAGTAGTAAACATTGTGCCCAAGAAACCACCACTGCTTGACAGACCTGGAGAAGGGAGTTACAGTCGGTATGATGATTACGGCCACGTTGAGTACAGGGACTACGAAGAGGGTCGCAGTTTTGCCCATGAACGAAGAAGTGGCCCACCACACCGAGGTGTACATAAGGTGATTCTTTTCCTGTGACTGTGATGTCTGTTGTCTTATGAAGGTTTGAATACTGAACAATTAAAATATGCTTTTATGCAGTTACTGTGCCTCGAAGACTCCTGTGATGATGTTGTAATAAGCGTTTGCTGCTTTTTGTGTTTCCTAGCTACTGTATGGGCTTGAAAGCAATCCTTTGTCCAGGTCTACGGGGCGCTCAGAGTCTGAACTGGGAAAACAGGAGTAGCTGGGAGTCCTGTGTAACATGGTGCAAAGTTACCTGGATGACTAGAAGAATGATAGCAAAATCTTTGTGTATAACAAGTGCTCGCAGTTGGCCTATTGAATGTTGTCTACCTAGCATTCTAATTTGCATAGTTGTTAACTTAGTTAAATTCTGCCATGATGCTGATTTTTTTCAATAGCTACTCAAACACAAACTTTGTGGTCACTTTGAAAGGTCATTACTGTGAGTCCACCAATTGCAGATGTTTGAAATTCTGTAATTCCAAGCTAGTGACGAGAATTTATATTTCACTGAGGAAATTTATTTTTTAAAATCAGAGCCCCTCTATATGGTTTGGAAATTTTTGTCCCATACAAAGTACAAGGTGGTTGTTTTTTTTTTTGGTATGTCATTTCGAAGTTTTTCTTTTTATCAATGATAGAGGCGGAAAATAGGAGTGGGGCCAAGTGGATAAACTGAGAAGAAGTCTTTCCGTGAACGATTAATACTCTCTTAGCTCACTAAATGCTTTGGTTCTGCAGTAAATAAGTACCATTTGGAAACATTGTATTTGACATCTGTTGCTGAGATACGCTTCAAACAACTGTCTCTGTATGCTTTGCAGGATGAATCAGGATACAGATGGCCAAGGGATGATCATTCTATAAGTCGGCAGCCTGAATACAGGTATTTTATAAAGCTTTACAGCACTGCCATGCATAGGAAGGTTTGGAGGCTGTCTGTTCCAGTCTCTTACTCAGAGCAATTTGTGTTTGAAACAGAATGATCAAGGCTTGTTCAGCTAAATTTTGAATTTTAAAGCTATGCTGGGAAGTTCTTGTTCGTTTTTGTAGATATTGAATGTTGCTTAACTCTAAGGGTTTAGGTTCTCCTTCTTCTGAAAGGGTTCAAGGTTAGGATCTGTCTTAGCATATTTGATTGAAACAGCATGTTAGCGATGTGCACATGCTGTCATTCTATCTGAGCTACTGGAATGTACCTAAATGACCTGCTCTGAATATCAATATGCTGCTCTTGCATCTATTAGAAACCCACTGATTTATTTGGGTTTCCCATTATTTCCCTTAAAAACAGTTAAAAAGCTACTTTCCCATCTTTACTGCCCCAGTCTAGTCTGTTAAATGAAATACAAACTTTTTTATGTTGTAAATTTAATGTACACGTGCATAGGGATATATAAATATGACTACATGCGGTAAAGAGGTTAAATAAGTGTTATATTTTTAATAATCTTTGTCTTGTGGCGATAGTGTCACGAAAGCCTGTTCTAAGCCGTAGATATATTCAGATCAGTCTCTCTTAGAATCTAGAAGATATGTGTGTACTTATGCTTAAATGCAGAAACTGAGAAGAGTTCCTGTTGTATAAATTTGTCAATCCATAATTGACAGTTTATTCTTTAGAATTTTCCTTAATTAACCTTACTGTTTTATTTTGTACAGATCATGACATCAAAACTGTCATAACACTTACTGTGACTATGTAGAACATTTTTCTTTGTTATCAAAACAGTTTGTAGAGTAGAGCAGTGGAATGATAGGGATATGGGAAAGGCTGTCTGTTGAAGTGACATGATGGTGAAAAGTGTTTTCTAGTTGTATTGTTTTGAGATACAAATAAAATAAATGACACAAAGGTCTTTAATATTTGTTTAGTAAGGACAGGAGGTGCAATGATAATATCTTTAAGATGCCTGGGATTGCAAGTAATTTAGTGCATCTACCTAGTCAGTCACGCTTTTTGTATGACATAGAGAATTCTTTCATCTGTCTAATGTTTGCTTCAGTGACTGCAGTACTTTGAGGCCAAATGGAAAGATAACTGAGCCATTTTAAAACTTGCTGAAGTGGATAGTGGATAATATGCAGGGCACCGTATCCTTGTTCTGACCTTCCTGTTTCCTCAGCTGGACTGATGAGCAGGTATTAAAACAATAAATTAATTTCTGTGACCAACTTTTAGTCTGTACTTCAGGTTCCCATCTACGAAATGTGAGGAATAGGATTAAACAGTAGGGCGGTTAACATGTATGTGTCTGCAATGCAGTTTGATACGGGATTTTTTTTGATATGATAAATAAGGATAGTGTTACACTCACGTTTTATGGACAAGGATGAAATTCACCATAAATATAAAGACAAGAATTAATTGTTAGTGTATATTTCCATTGTATAATGGAAATATTAGCAGTGTAATCTAAGAATCATTAGTAGTTCAAATTTAATTATTACAGGAAGAATAAGTCCATACAGAAGCTAAATAGTAACAGTTTTAGGTGTTGTTATTACATGCATACTTCTTAGTTCCTTAACCTTCCTTCACCTGCTCCTTTGTGTATGAATGATGGTGTTCAAACAGTGAATTGTCAGCATCTTCACTCCTTTGCAGGGAGGAGTTGATGGTGGTGGCTTAGGCTTCACTGTAAGGTGCACCTGGGATCACTTTGTCAATAGGGTTTTATATCTTTGTTTTTGTTTTTTTTTTTTCTTTTTTCATTGGTCCACAGCACCACATTATAGCCAAATTTGTCATATATGTTGCCACATATATATTAATGTCCTGGCTTTGGCTGGGATAGAGTTAATTTTCTTCACAGTAGCTAGTATGGTGCTGTGTTTTGGATTTAGGATGGAAATAATGGTGATAACACATGGCTGTTTAAATTGCTGCAGAGCAGGACATGCATGGATCAAGCACGGATCTGTGCTTCTTGTGCTGCCCTACCAGCAAGGAGGCTGGGGGTGCACAAGGAGCTGGGAGGGGATGCAGCCAGGACAACTGACCCAAATGGACCAAAGGGATGTCCCGTACCATATGGGATAATTAAAGCTGGGGTAAAGGATGAGGTGGGGGCGTGCTCAGAGTGATGGGACTTGTCTTCCCAAGAACCCATTAGGCATGGTGAGCCCTGCTTTCCTGCAGATGGCCGAACACCTGCCTTTTTGTTACCCCTAAAACCAGTGTTGTTCATCTAACCATTTGTGAATGCTTTGCAGCCCAGGAATCTCCATCGCCAGGCCTGTGCTCCCATCTTTTATCATCCCATAACTGTCTTTCTGAATGCCATGTCCTGTGTTTCCCCTTCTTAAGGTGTCTGCTGTTGTAGCAGGCCTGCATTTCTGCATACTACATCATCGTGTTAGTTGGAAATGTCTCCTCCTATGTAGAGTAACTCTTCCTTACTGCTGTCTGCAGAAAGCTATGTTTGTACCATTAAAGAAAAAAAAATAAGGTAAACATGTTAGGTACAGACACCTGGTCAGTTAGAAAAATTGCTGTTAAAGCTTTGTATTCTGTAACACCTTGGTAATGCTATAAGGGTCTGTGTGCACAGGACTTCTCTCAAAACTGTGTTCTTAGGGCTAGAAGCAACCGTAAATGGTAGGCAGCTTATTCTTACATAGAACAAGAGTGGCACCCAGTGGTCAAAAAGATTGTCTTAAATGCTTCCTGATTCCTGCCATTTAAAATGCAAGGATAAAATGTCAGCTCAGTTTGCAGGCTTCAGTAACGTGGTAGTGGTAGTCCCATCTTGTTCTTTATTAGGGGTTTCAGAGCATCTGACTGTCACGCTGCTGTGCTACGGAAGAGCTCCATGGTCATATTTGCAGTTGAATGAAGCCTTATTGATTTATTACATAAATATGCTTTATGGCAGCAGTCTGCTTGTACAGAAGAGCACGGGAATAGTAAATACCCTTAAATGTCAAATTCTGTGATCAGACTGCTCAACGCTTCCAGCGTTACGTGCTTGGTAATAGTTATGTGTTTTTCTCATATTGCACATAGTGAGCTGTATAATGGGTCCCAACAGAGGAAATCAAAGTACAGATCGTGGTATATTTTGTCTCGTGATGAAAAAGCTAATTTGTGTTCCAAAGACACTCGCACTATAAAACTCAAGATTCAGAAATTATTGTATGGGAATATGCTTTGGATGTGATAAAGATATTGTCTGTAAGTTTTTGTGGAATATGTATAACTGGTGCTGTTTTTTTCATTTTTTTTTCTCTTTGAGGTAGTAAAAGGAGATGTAAGATTACTTTAACCAGAAATACTTAAAAATAAAATTAAAAAAAAAGAGGCATGGAATGTGGGTAGGCCATAGTACAAAGTGAGGTTTGTAAAACTAAAGACACTCAGGAGACTTGTAAAGTTAATGGGTTTTTGTAGTCAGTACTGTTACTAGGAATTCTAAAAAAGAATAGCTCTTTTATTGACAGAAATAATCAATTGGAGTTTTCTTGAGTATTTTTGAAAACTCATTCAGCAGCTAGAAGTGTGCTGTAAGAAACTGTCAGTATTACGTTTAGCATTTCCTCTTTAAGCATTAATCGTTCACGCTTTCCTGCTTTGATTTCTTTAGCAGTTTAACTGTCAAAAAGTAGTTTCTGGTCTTGCTTTTTCTGTTTTTGTTCCCCCTCTCCTCTTCCTTTGAAGAAAAGCATTACTTGATATCCTCCCAAAGTAGAAGAGGCTGCTTGTTTGGAAAATCAAAAACGTTTACATGGTGCAGAGTTGGGGGGAGGAAGGTGGAGTTTCCTATGTTAAAGAAACCATATGCTGTTTTTTTTCTTAATTTTTATTCTTTCCTTGAGCTTCTTGCCTTTTCCTTAAATAAATAAAAAAAGATGATGTGCTCGCTTGCTTTACAGTCATGCAGCTATGGCTTGGACTGTGGTGTGTCAGCTCAGCAGCAGCAATTCTCCACAAGTGACAAGAGGATTGCTAAGGGTCTTCAGCTTGGCTTAGCTGTAATTTTCTTCTTACCTTCTTCTTTCTTATCCAGTTATGCAATGTTTTCTAAGCAGCTGCTGTTTGCCCCTTGTATGCCACTGAGCAGAGCATTCCGTGTGCTTTTGCCCTTTTCTGGACTGTTCAGTCCTGTAGAGCTGTTAGCCCTGTTTTCTACCATGCTCCATGAATCGTGCTCATGCTGATGTGACTTCTTCATGGTAATACCTTTTTTATATGTAAAAATAATGTGAAGGATTTGCTGGGCAGAGGTTTCAGAATGAGTTTCTAGCTCTCTTTCTCCTGGGCTCACCAGCAAGGGATTCTTACTGGATTTCTGAACTGCAGGAACTGATAAAAAAATTTGGTAACCTGACAGTCACAATTTGGTTGGAAGTTGTGTGCCTCTTGGTGCAAGCCTAGCTGGCATGTTTGAAGAATTGTACATCAAAGCAGAGTGTCGTAGTGTGCCGAGCAGAGAATTCTCTATATGTGATGGCAGTTTTAATGTCTGGATCGCTGATGCTATGAGAATTGTGAAACTAGGAGAGGAGTAGAGATGAAATAACACGTGACTTGTTCATACAGTTATCTTTTCCTGATGCTGATCACTCTTCTGGGGCTGGGTTATTACTTGTCTTTCGTGATATATCAAACTCATTTATTCAGAGCACTCAAAGGAGTTATTTGCATGCATGTCAGATCTTTTTAGAAGCATGCGGTGAAGAACTCCAGGGTTCCACTTCTTCTCTACAGCCCTCGTAACAATGGATTTCACATGCGTGTACATTATTATAAAATGAGATGAGCTGTTCTGTCTGAAACGCTTTAGATTGCTAGCTGCTGTTTACTTTAAGCACACCAAATTTTAATCCTTTAGAGCGTTCAGAATATTACTTAATTATTTTTTTTTCAGCCGCACTGAGTTGATA